ACCAACAAGTACAACAACAACGGATATTTCAATGAGAACGATCGGGCTATCAACGGGCTGCACATCACGCTCTTCCACTGGGGCTTCCTGGCATGGATCGTCTATGCCATCACTGCACTGACCATGGGCTTCCTCTCCTACCGGAAGGGGCTTCCGCTGTGCTTCCGCACCTGCTTGGCCCCGCTGTTCGGCAAGGCCACCTGGGGCTGGATGGGGGACATGCTTGATGTTCTTACCATCGTTACCATCGTCGCCGGTCTTTGCACGTCGCTTGGCCTGGGTGCGCGGCAGATCATCGGTGGCCTTCAGCGCCTGGAGTGGCTGGACGGCACCCTCAGCGAGGAGCGAACCCCCAACCCTTTGGCCCTAAGCCTAAACCGGAAGCCTTCCCTTGATAAGCCGACGTAAACCCCCGCAGCTGGCAAATCTCGCGTCGAAGGACCAGCTCACCAACGCGGCTGCCTGGGTCATCGCGGTCATCACGCTGCTCGCCACCGCCTCCGTGGTGGCTGGCCTGGACTTTGGAATCAAAACGGTTTCCTACACGGCCTTCATGCTGGGCAACTTCCTGATGGTGGTGGTCTTCAGCTTGGATGAGCCCTGGTACATCCTGAACGTGATGGTTCAGGCCGTGGGTTACCACCTTGCGAACTTCGTCGAGATTGCCTTCGACACGGATGCCTTTGCACAGCTCGACCTGGGCAATGGCCGGCCCAACGATGGCAAGGGAGCCAACCCCTCCTGGATGGACTGGTGGACCATCTTCTACTGGGGCTGGTGGATCGCTTGGGCCCCCTTCGTGGGCACTTTCATGGCCCGCATCTCCCGTGGACGTACCATCAAGCAGGTGGTCATGTACACCCTCACCTTGCCCTTCCTCTATGCCGTGCTTTGGTTCTGCATCTTCGGTGCGGCCTCCATCCGCATGAACCGCCGGGCCATTTGGTTGGAGAATGTTGGCACGGAGCTTTTCAACAACTCCGACTACTTCCTCCACACCGCTTCGGCCTTCAGGCCCGGTGCGGCGGGCAAGTGCTTCGACGTACCGGCGACCCTGCCAGGAGACGCCTACAAGTCCTACTCGGTGAACACGGATGTGAGCCCCGTGTGCAAGTTTGCCTCGGGAGACTCGTCGGGCTACTGGTTCGACCTGATGGGCCAGTACTACGGCATGGGCCCGACCCTGGTTTTCGTGTCCATCGTCACCACGATCCTCTACTTCGTGACCTCCAGCGACAGTGGCTCTCTGGTGGTGGACCTGATTGCTGCAAACGGCCGCGAAGCGCATGTTGTGCAGCGGGTCTTCTGGGCTTTGACGGAGGGTGCGGTGGCCATTGCTGCGCTGGTCTCTGGTGGCTTCAGCTCACTGACGGCCTTGCAGGCTGTGTCCATTGTCATGGGCCTCCCCTTCACGGTAGTCATGATGATGATGTGCACGTCCCTGTGGCGAGCACTGAAGATTGAGGCTGGGGAGATTGCCCCAAGGGGCCAGCGAGTGGATTGGAAGCTGCCTCTCTATGGCGGCATCTTGGATGCTCCTGAGTGGGTCCTGAGCTGCGGGAGGTCCAAACTGCCGCCCGCGAGCGCTTTCGTCAACTTTTTCGTGGCCACGTTGATGCCCCCCGTCGTCTTCTGGCGGTCCATGCGAGCCTATGCAAAGTACGAGAAGGTTCCGACAGGAGCCGGTGCCCATGGCATGCTCACTGTGGTGATGGGAGTCGCCTTCAAGGCCTTTGTCATCTTCCACATTGTCTCCTGGGTCTACCAGGGGGATACAAATGGCAGCAAGGTGGGCAAGGGAATGTGGGCTATGGCCTGGGTTGCCTACCTCACCTTTGCTGGCGTCCTCTCCCTGGGCCGTCACCAGATCAGGAGGCTCTATGGCATCGAGGGCTCTGGTATCGAGGACATGTGCGCTGCCCTCTTCTTGTACCCGCAGACGCCTCCTGGCTGAGAGCTTTGCATCTTGCTTGCTACCACTTGGTTCTAGGGGCTCATACACTAGCTCACTGTCGCTTAGCAGGGCTTCACCCACTCTGCCAGGCTTTGCCAGATGATGGCACAGGTCGCCAGCGAGCAGGCCCCAAAGCCCGTGTACAAGAAGGCGCAGGTGGAGGCGGAGGCTGGGCTTCTCTGGGCTTGTTTGAATGAGCGGACATGTCATCCAAGCTTTCCATATTGCCGTCTTGCTTCCTGCAAACCCATGCCAGGGCAAAAAAGTCGGCGAGGTTGACATTTGAAAGCCTTCCGAAGAACCTCAACGTT